ACCGACTCCCCCCCGGGTACGGCACAGGCACAGCCGGCACTGATCCCTTCACACACACACCCCCGGTTCACCCCCCCTCGGTTACGGCAAAGGCCCAGCCGGCACTGGCCCCTTGTCGGACCGCACCTCCCCTAGCTGTGGGGTATGGGCAGCCCTTGGGCTCTCCTGACCCCCAGCACCCTTCTCTATCAGTCTTGCCCTGTCTGCCCCATCCCTGCCTTAGTGGGGGTACGACTAGGACCTGTTTGGGCCTCCTGTCCCCTTGGAGCCGTGACTAGGGGGTCTGGACCCCTGCGGGTGGATCAGTGTGGTCTCTGGTTTGTGCTGCAGGAGGATAAAGACCTGGTGCCAGAGTTCGTGAACTTGGAGGGGCTGACATGCTTGATCAAAGTGGGAGCCGAGGCCGACCAGAACTACCAGAACTATATCCTGCGAGGTTGGTGACAGGACTGGCCCTCTGGCCTGCCCCGCGGCAGGCCCCAGAGCCACTTGTCTGCCTGTCTGGAGCCCCCTGGTTGGGGTGGGGGGGAGATTTTGGGCCTAGAGCCCCCAATGGTGCAGACACACACACACTGGGTGTGGGAGTCCCTGCTGGAGGGGGAGGACTGCTTGGGAGAGGTGGCAGGCATCGTAGGCTCTGCCCCTCTCTGAGCAGCGCCTCTGCGCCGGGCCCTGCCTGCGGGTGAGCTCTGAGCACGGGCTGTGCGGGACGGGCCCCTGCACCGCGGGGCACGGCGGGTGCTGAGCTCTGCTGAGTCTTGGCTCTGACTGCTTGTGACCGGGGTCCTAGTGGGGGCCAGCTGTGGTCACTCAATTAGGGTGAACTGCAAAGAATGGAGCAGCCAAACCCCAAAACGCTGGTGGAGATTCCAATACTTCGATTCACCAAGCCAGCATCAAACAGCTTCTTTATTACCTCCCTGGTTACTCAGAAATCCAAACAACACCGTTCTCTTCAAGTGATCCAGCCTCAGGTCTCCATCCAGGTACCCACATCAAATATGATGAAAATGTCTGTAAATCTTATTTCATCCTATAAAAGAAAAGGTTCTACCAATCCCGAAGGATCGGACACATTACCTCCCAGGTTAATGCATGTTTCAGATCTTACCCAAATACACGCTACAGCCAGTTCTTATTAACTAAACTAACATTTATTAAAAAGCAAAAGAGAGAGAGTATGGTTTAAAAGATCAATATACATACAGATTTGAGTTCAATTCATTTAGATGCAGATTCATAGCAGAGAAGGTGAGCTTTGTAGTTGCAAAGAGTTCCTTTAGAATTCAGTTCATAGGTCATAGTTCAATGTCCAAATCTCAGATTCAGGGCGTACCAGCATAACTGGGACCGCAGTTTTGCGACTCAAACTTCCCCTGATGAAGTCTAAGCAGATCTGAGATGACAGAATCAGGAACCAAGGCTCTTTTATACAATTTCATGTCCTCTTTGACAAGTTGGGAGTTCCTCAGGAACAAACGGTCATTAGGATGACTTTGAAGGAGGTCCATCACCGGTACTTAGCTGTACAAATTAACATAAGGCCATTTGCTTGTTCCTCCACCATTCACAGTACATTTCAAAGAGAGATGAATACGAGATATCCCGTATTTACAATTCATTTAAATGCTAGGATCTTCTTTTGACTGTCTGAATTATCAGAATACAGCACAGACAGGGACTGTCAATTATGTTGTGGACCCTATTCATACATATGTAAATACACAAAAACACAAACATGATCTCCCCATGGGTCTTTTGAGGGTTATTTATTTTGTAGGATGTTTAACCCTTTCTAGCCATGCGTCACACTGCTCTTTCCCTCCCAGCGCTGAGCCAGATCATGCTGTTCGTGGACGGGATGTTGGGCGTGATCGCGCACAACGAGACCGTGCAGTGGCTCTACACGCTCTGCGGGAGCATGGTGAGTTTAACAGAGAGCACGCCCCCGCCGCACCCCTTTGCACCGGGCCATTGCTGCCTGCTCCCGGCCTCCACTCCCTGCTGCTTTATTGCAGCTGGGATTTGTCAAGGGCAGGGCTTTCCGTGCACTGGCATTGCACTTTCCACGAGGAGCGTGCTGGGGGTGAGGCTGCTGAGTGCTCCTGCACTCCCTGCTCTGAATTCTCGCTCACCCCCGGTGCCAGGCCTGGGCCTCGCTCCCCGTCCAGCTGGGCTCTGCACATGTTCGCCGTGGGCAGGTTAAGCAATGCTCTGCTCCGAGCCATGTTTGGGGGCTTATTATCTGTATACCTGTAGGGCTCAGACCTCACGCTGTGGCAGCTGTGCACACGTATTCTAGAGCAATCCTCCTCTGAGCACTGGTCCCTAGGTGTGTTCCCCACATGGGCACGCGTGCGCCATGCACCCGAGTCCGGTATTTCTTCAAAGCGGTGTCCGTAGACTCGCCTCGTGCTCCCGACCGATTGTACCAGAGGCCAGTTCCTTCTTACCGCCGCAGGCCTGAGTCCTGGGATTCAAGAACTGCGTCTCCTGCCCTCGCTCCTTCTTCATCAGTGACGAGCATCACTGGTGCCTGTGCTGTCTGGGTGAGGCACGTCTCCCTGCCAAGTGCAGGGTGTGTAAATCCTTCCTGCCCAGAACTGGAGCTCCGACTGAAAAAGCCCCTGATCGAGGAGGCTATGCCCAGGCCCAGGAGACGTTGTCGGTATCACCTCGTCTATGTAAAGACCGTCTGGCTGTGTCAGACAAGCCGGGCCCTTCAGGCATTTCTGCTGGAACTCCTTGGATTCCGGGTCCTACGGTGACCTTTGTGACATGGGAGGATCTCTTCCTCCCCTACCTGCAGTCTCCACTCCTGACCCAAAGCAGGAAGGATTCGACTAGACTCTGCTACCTGGCTAAATGGTGGCAGTTTTCGGCCTGGACGCGTCCCCACCAGCATGCGCTTGATCCTGTGGACGTGCCATTTATCCATGGCAGAAAGGTGGTGGGGACAAGCCATATCCTCACAAGGGTTTCTAAGTCCGTTTCAGGAGGCATCTTAGAATGCTACAAAACCGCAAAGCTTCCCCGTCGTGGGCGTATCACAGCTCGCGCTGTGTGGGCACCAGCTGCCTCCCCGGCATGCTTCTGGGACGTCTGCAGGGCGGCGACGTGGAGTTCCCTCTGTGGTTTCACAGCGCACTGTGCTCCAACGGTCAGCAAGAGCGGAGGCCGCCACAGGGACGGCAGCACCTCTGCTGCCAGCTTCCTCGCACCCTCCTCCGGCCTGAGCCCTGCTTGTGCAATACACCCAGGGGCCAGCCCTCGAAGTAGTGGTGGTGGTTACTCACTGTAACTGGCGCTTCTTTGAGAAGTGTGGTCCCCATCTGTATTCCACCAGCCCACTCCGTCCCCTCTGCTTCGCATCCGGCCAGAGCAGCATCGACCTGCCCTGCCTCTTACACCCTCGGTCGGGAGCGCGAGGAGAATTACTGCACACGTGGGGGTTGATGGCCATGGCTTTGAAGACATTCCGGACTCGGGTGCGTGGCGCTCGCGTACCCACGTGTAGGATACTGATAGGGACGCCGAGTCTCGAAGAACTTCCATTACCCCACTCAGTGCGTTTGAACAGCATGCCCAGGAGGGCTCATTTCCTACCTACCCAAAGGGATCCTGGTAAAGGGGGTCCCTTTACGGGCCTTTCTCATTGAACCAGAAGCTGTAGAGATGCCCCCATTTCCTGCTGCGAGTGGAGTTTGACACTGCAGGGACAAAATGTGCCCAACCGCAGGCCAAGGGGGGCTGTGAACAAGGCCGGCCTCTCTCAGGGCACTTGGCAGAGCTGCCTGGCAGGTTTCAGAGTGGTGGTAGCCGTGTTAGTCTGTATCAGCAAAACAACGAGGAGTCCCTGGGGCACCTTAGAGACTAACAGATGACAGAGACACAGCAAGGACTAGAAGTGCTAGCTCGGTCTGGGGGCTGCCTCTGCTCCGGCCGGCACCAGGCCTCGGAGTTTGTTCTCTGTGCGGCACAGCTTGCTGGCTGAAGTGTGGTCCTGATCCTGACCAGCAGCGGCCTGTCTGGCACCCAGAGCATTGTGTGCTGGGACCTGACCTCTCCCCTCTGCACTGAGGACCCGGGCAGCTGCTGTTGGCTCTGCTGTCTGTGAATTGAATGCGGAACAGTGAGCTCCTCACGCGCCAGCCCTCTAAATACGCCCCTCTGCCTCCCCAGTACCGCCTGGTGGTGAAAATGGCGCTGAAGCTGCTGCTGGTGTTTGTTGAGTACACGGAGTCCAATGCCCAGCTCCTCATCCAGGCTGTCAACACGGTGGAGCAGGCTAGAGGTGAGCGCGGCAACCCCCCGGTGCCTGGGGGAAGCCGCCTGGCAGGCTGTGAGCTGCAGTGTGCAAACACTTGGGATTGACATAGGGGTGCCCTGGCTGGGTCCCCTCAGGGAGTCCCCCCCGCAGGCCCCCGCCGCCACAGTAACAGCGCACACTCACGTCAGAGAGACTCAGTCGCACTCGGGCCCTGCACGCTGCCCGGGCCAGCACTGGAGGGCAGGCCGGGGGCACGGGGCATTGCTGGTAACCAAACCCTCATGCTCCTGGGGCAGGGACTTGGGTGCATGCGATTCAGACGGCTCGGCTATAAACATCCCATCGGGCTGCACGCTGGCTGAGCCGGTAGAGGAGCACGGCGCCCCCAGGAGGCTCAGCGGCTGCGTGGCGCTGTGATGTTCTGGAAGCTCAGCAGTAGCTCTGTGCTTCAGATGGGAACTTGCTGCCCTCCCACCATGCCCTCCCCAGCCTCAGCCCGCTCTGCCACCCTGTCTCGGTGTGCTCTCTGCCCAGAGCCGGCCCTTGGGGCAGCTGTCCTCTCTCCTGGCAGCCCCCCGCTGCAAGACAGGAAACCTGCCACCATAACTCTGCAGCCTCCTGCCTGCGTGCCATGAGAGCCGTGTCTGTTCCCGGGGCACCCCACCTCCGCAGCAACGCGCACCCATGCTGCTGCAGCAGCTGGCCCCCAACCTGGCGAGCCGGGGCCAGGCTCTGGGTGGGACTGTGAGCCCCAAGAAGAGCGGGATGGTCCTGGGGGCTGCCCAGCCGCATCCTGCAGAGGGGGACTAGCCAGGGATGCCCCAGGCTAGGGGCAGGGTCTCAGGCTGGAAAGGAAGCTGCCAGTGCTCTGTGGGATTTCCAGGAGACCCACTGTACTGGGAGGAAGAGGGGGTGCCGGTGTCTCTGGGCCCTGCGTGAGCCCGGGGCTCTGTCTCGGAGAGCAGCTGGGCGTGCTGGCCTGCATGTGGTGCTACAGCAACCTCTGCTGGCAGGTCAGGGTATTGACGTGTCTGTCCCAGTGGTGAGTGTGCCCTGTGCTCAGGGCAGGGCGGGAGCCACCACACTGCACCGCCAGGCTCCAGTTACCTGGTCCGCACTGGTGCCGCACTCACCTGTGTGGCGCTGGGACTTCTGGGGTAAGTGCCAGGCTGCTTTGCACTGCAGTGAGTGAGATGTTCCCTCCCAGGGAATTGTGGGGAACGTGTCTGTCCGGGCCACGCGGGGGGAATTGTGGGAAAGGTGGAGAGGACTCTCAGCAGTCGCGTGGCTTAGCCTGGGTTCTCTCTGTGAAGTGGGCCTGTGACCAGCCCCAGCGAAGGCAGAATTTGAGCTCTAGCTACGGCCAGGCCAGGCCAGCTAGCCTGGGGTTAAAGCAGCAGCACACTGGAGTGAGAGGAGGATGGGAGGGGGTGACACCCTGGTCAGAGCCCGGGTTAGACAGAGGAGGAGGGGAATAAAGCTCGTGTAGGGATCTTCCTTCTGCATGTGGTATCTCCATGGTGCAGGCTGTGCTGGGCCTCTGGTAACGGATGGTGCTCGGGCGCCTCCGTCACACCAGGGCCGTGCATGTCCTGGGGGGGGGCAGATGGGGTGCAGGGCCATCCCAGAGAACACCTCGGTCTGAATTGGCTGGCAGAGAGCCAGGTTCCAGCCTGGTGCGGCATGCTGCAGGGGCTGGCAGCTCTGGAATTCCCACATTCGTCGTCTCCCCAGCACTTGGTGCGCGGCGTGCTGGCTGGCCCAGTGGGCCCGGCTACTGTCCTCACATGGCAGTAAGCCCCACTCGGAGGCTCTCGGTGGATCTGTTAACACAGGATCCCCTTTCGGAGCTCCCACCTCCCTGGGCGCAAGCAGGCTGCAGCTCTGAGTCCTGGGTCTCAGGTGCAAAGCTCTCCACAGGACGCACAGTGTAACGAACTGGTGGGGGCTCTGCCCCCTGGTGCTTCCTCGGGGGGGAGGGAAGGAAGGGAGTCCGGAAGTGGGCCGATCTGCCTGGCTGCTGCCTGATGGGGGGGGCACCAGTCACGAGGAGGAAGCCTGCCCTGCTCAGGGACCCTGTTTGCCAGGCTTGTGGTGCTGTTTCCTAGGGGCGTATCCATGGTCCAACCTGGTTGCAATCTTAGAGGAGCGCAATGGGGCCGACACGGAGCTGCTGGTGTTTGCGATGACACTTATCAACAAGGTCAGTACCGCGAGGCAGAGCGGCCGCAGCCCGGCCCATCCCGCCCACCCCCTGGCTGCTCAGAGGACAAAGAACAAGCAGCTGGCGGCTGTGGTTTGGAGCATGTTTCGTGCGTTCCTGGGAGTGGCTCCCATGTTGCTCCTTCCTCCCACCCCTGCCCTTCACCTGTGCAGTCCTGCTCTGGCGCCTGGGCTGGGAGGTGTGGGCAAGAGGCCTGCTAGCCCCTGTGCCGCGGGCTGGCCTGACTGCGTCTCCTTGGTGTTGCTCAGACGCTGGCGGCCCTCCCGGACCAGGACTCGTTCTACGACGTGACAGACTGCCTGGAGCAGCAGGGGATGGAGCGCATTGTGCAGCGCCACATGCACAACAAAGGCCTGGATCCTGACGTGAAGCAGCAGTTTGCAATCTACGAAGTGAGTGCATTTCCTCTCCATGGGCTGCAGCCCCCTGCCCCTCCATCTCCCCTGCCCTCGGGTGCAGGCCAGAGGCTTGGAAGGACTCACCCCTCCCCCCCCCTTACGCAGGGGGTTCTGGGATTGCCCTGGCCACACCTACGGGAGCATCCTGCCTGCAGGGAGGTGCCCTGGAGGTTGGACAGGAAGCTGAGGACCTGCCAGGTACTGACAGATGCTCCAGCCTCCATGGGGCTGGGCAGGTCACTGGGGTGTTGGGACAGGCCTAGCGCTGCCGACCCCCAGAGCCTGGGGTCGCTGCCCCACACAGCCATGTTGTATCTCCCCCCAGCCAGGCCTGATCTCAGCTCCCCTCCCCAGCCTGCAGAGGGGATGGAGACGATCTCTGGCTCGCAGAGGGGTTGTGCCGAGTAGCTGCACTCTCCCCTGTTGTCACACTCGGCACCCCGTGGCTAGACGTTAGTTGCTCCACGGTGAGGCCGATGGGTGCTGGGGGCGTTCACGCCTCTTGGAGCCGTTGGTTTAGGCTGTCAGCAGGCTTAGGCAGAGGA